GGCTGTGACATGAACAGAAACAATCTGAGAATTAGCAAAGAAAAATATTGATTGCTATCACTGATTGCTACCAGTAGTATAACGAACATCAGACAATTATGGTCAGAAGTATCTGGGCACAGGCGATGTACAGAATCTGACTGAAGGGCATTGTGAACACCTAGAACATTAGAAAGATCATTTCATAATATATTCAGTATTGCAAAGTATTTGCAAGTGAAAGTAGTGCTTTTTTTATGTGTCCTTTTGGAGTGGGGTCTTGCTTTCTGTGACCGTGAGGCTGTCCATAGCGTGATGTGTATTATTCTAATGCGGGGATGTCTCAACCTCTGCTATATTTTTGCATACAAAGCACAATTGCACTATTAATTATTATTCTGGAAGTACATCTCTTGAGTAGTCTGAGCTCAGCTTGGCGCTGCTGCTCTGTTATCAGTCCTGAAGCTCGTTCTTCAGATCTGATCAAAAGGAGCTGGCAGAGATCCCGTGCTGTGATTAATTCCTCCTCACTAGCGGCTCTCCACAACACTTCGTGGTGGGGGTGGTTTTCTGTCAGAAATTGTACAGTGAACCAGTCTTCTGCCTGCGTGTGGCAGAGCAGGTTACTATTTGTGCTACTATCACTTTTATTTACTAGACTGTTAGTAATCTTGATGCTTGGAGGCATCTTCCTGTATCGGTTGATTAACATGAGGACTCTTAAAAAAAGGAACAGATAATACATATATCATGAATAGCCTAACCTTAAATCTTTGCATGGTTACAGATTTTTTCTTCTATATATTCTCAAACAGCATCTTTTTGACCAGATGATATTTGCAGTCAGAGGACTTTAACTACTGAAAGCCTCATTGATTTTTAACCATGACAACTTTTTGATGACAGCTCTGAGATTTTCTGTTTGTGCTTAGTTGCTTGTAATTGTACTTTAAACCTGCTGGGGCAGCTTTGTGCCTGCAATTTCTGTAGTGATTCTACACCAGATAATGCAGGGGACTTCACTCTGTTGAAAACAGAGAGAAGACTGTGGAGCAAAAATTGAGGACTGGATTTGGAAGCTGTCCTGCTAATTGTTTGCTGCTTTTGCCTGAAATGAGTGAGGCTTATTGATTCACTTGATGTGCTCGTGATTGCTCTGGGTTTGGGGATGTTGGCTTAATAGTTTTCATGAAAAACGATTTTGGAGATGGATTTTGGGGAATCAAAAATAAATCTCAACTTGATTTCCTCCTGTATGAACAGTTCCATTCAGCTATGTTGGGATGTATGGGTGCCACTCACTGTACCTGTGCTAGAATGTTTCTGTGACATTGCTGTGTTACTGTTGCTGTAGCTGTCTGGTAATAGCAGTGAAGTGCCAGTCAAATAGAGCACTGTCGTTACTACCGTCAGGTTGCATAACTTTGCTAAGAGCTAATCTAGACACAGGGGTAAAAATACCACTCCTCTTCAGTTGCTGATTTAGGTAACTACTGGTGGTGATGTGCAGACAGAGGATTTTACTACAAAATCTTGAGACACAGAACTGCCATCCCACCCCAGCACCAACTTGCGGAAGACACTATTTTAATAAAAAATCCATATAGAAATATTTTTCCAAAACAACTTTTCTGGCAAAAAGACTTTCTATTTTTTCCTTAAAAGTATTGAATGTATGGCTTCAGTTGAAGTTGTGGTATTCTCTTGCCAAACTTGTATGTTGTAATGCAGTGTTTTCCCTTGTTTATACAACTGTCTGAGTCAGTGCCGAGTACCAGCACTAGACAGGATTTTGGCTGGTATCGTCACAGGGGTTTGGTTTTTAACGCTGCCAGTCTTTACCTAGTCAGGCAGAAATAAATAGTAAACAGGTTGTAAATATGGCTCTGTTGATAGTGGTGCAGAAAATTTTGAGCCCTGCTTGCAAGCTTTGGTGTGGACAGGATCTAGTATTTAGCAAGATGTACTGATACTTGACAGGAATATAATTTCAGGCCAAGTATACCTGTTAGCAGGCCTAAGGATTTCTTGGTGAATACTGTATCTATCTAGGAGCTTTCTAAGAGAACCACTGTTTATCTCCATCAGCTCTCCTGAAAGCAATTTTACAAATGGAAGTAACTTGGGAAAACTCCTGAGTTTAACATCTCTGAGTTTCTGAATATATATTTTGAATTCTCAGTATATTTTGTCACAGATTAATTCCCCCTTTCCAAAAGAAACTACTTCTTCGTGGCAGGGGAAGTACTCAAATTCATTAACCCTCCCTCCCCCTCTCCCAAACACTTCCAAATAGGAAGAGGAAACAAATGACGGGCTGACAATATGACTGCTTACCCATGCAGCACAATCTCCATGGAAACAGACTGTCCTAGAATAGCTCAATCACATGAGGGTTACATGACATGAATAAAGTAACCAGAAAACTGGAAAATATCTTAGAACTGGAGATACTTCCACTTAATTCATTACCCCGCAGGTCTTTGGAGGATAGCTAATAAACAAAGCTAGTATTGAAACTGATTTAGTACATGCATATCATAGTTTGTAAGTGATAGGATAGTGGAAAATTAATATGATCCTCGCTTAAGGGCTGTTGTTTCCAGTTTGGGGCAGCATTTAGAATGAATTTTGAGTGATTTTCCACATGACCCCTTCTTGAAATTGGTACCAGTGGTTCACAGCGTTGCCTTAGTAGGGCCTGGTGGACTTCTTCCCTTTGTGTCAGCAGGCACTGACCATTTCACACTTCCTAGGACATTTTGGGTATTCTAAAAAGTGAAGGCACTAGTTGAAGTAGGAACTGCCTGTGCACAGAAGGAATTGCAAAATCACCTTCAGAATATTTCTTTCTAGTTAATTATGTACTCACAGGGCAAGGAGATTTATTGAGTGTAACCACATTCAATACCAAAATGAATACATTTCACTGATGATTAGTTTTCTGTCTCTAAAGTCTGTGTTTTTAATGTGAGTGTTGTGACAGAGTCATTGAGAAACCTGTTATACAAATGAGATACGAAAAAGTAAATATTCTACCATTTCCCCATAAAGAAAATAACAGCTAGGTAGGGAAAAAAATAATCATTAGTCATTAGCTGCAGGTCACTGCATCATTAAACCACTGTGGCTCTTTCAAGAGTGCAAGGATACTGTAGTTTCTATGGGCAAACAAAGATCATCAGTTACCTTTTTCCTGTTTGCCTAATCCCAGATCACATTATTCATCACAGCTTCTCCTTCTAAGATGAAGTATTTGTAATGTGCTTTTTTGTCTGTTGTATGAATGAAGACCATAAAGTCATTATGCATTTATATTAGTACATTTGCTGTCTTGGTGTCTAATAGGAAACAGTAATTTCCACCATCTGTCTCCTGGCAGAGGCCAAAATGGCCACTGGCCATTATGCTGTGAAATGGGAATGAACATTAATTTGAACATTGAGATACCCAAGATTTAACTTTGGTCATTACAGAACTGTAATGCACAGGAAGAAAACCCATAGTTCAGAGCTGTAAGAGACTCTGTAAGGTTTCAGACAGTCTGTGTACATAGGTTTTATGTTGCTTATGACTGATGGTGTTCAATACAACAACACTGTGTCATTACTTTAAATCACTTTCAACTCTCACTAAAGTTTTTGATATTTTCATTAAATACATTTCTGATTTCCAAAACATCTTTAGATGGGCAATCATTTAGAGCTGTTTGTCTAACTTACAAAAGAGCTGCGGACAGTTTGTCTGCTTTTCACTGTGTATCTCAAACACATCACATGAGCCATTGGCTAACGTTACTGCCTATACATATGGTGCTTTTTTTCTGCATAGTCATACCATGCATACGTAAGTTTAACTCTGAACGTTTTCACCTAAACATGTTGCTCACATCAATGCACATAATCCTGCTGGAACCTGCAGCACTAACTGTGCAAGTGAAGGTTAACAGCGTCGGGTTTCGTGTCTGGTGCATGAGTGTTTACTTCAGACCGCCCTTACAGGGCAGCTATCACTGGGGCAGATTGCTCATTTAAAGGTTACATTTTTAATAGTCTCCTTTGCCATGCTTTGCTTCATAAAAACAAATATCATAACATATATATCTTTTTAAAGCACATAAGCTATGTTCTTCCTAAAATTAAGTTGGGATTCGTCCAGGCTTTTGGTCCTCGTGGTTAAGCGGGATGTGTTGTGTTCCTAGAGAGTTCACCATTGTTTGCTCTCTGGATCAGGGAAGGCGATGCTCTGGGTTTTGTTGTTTGTTCCCTTTGAATGGCTTTAGATGTGCTAAGAAGCACAATGAGTCATTCATTTTTGATTACTTGATTGATGACACTGCATGTGTGCACCATTGTCACAGAAGATGGGATTTCTCTAGCCAACCATTCCCATTTGCAAACGCAATCTAATACCTGGGCTTTGGAAGAGGATGAAAGTAGTGAATACTGTAACTGCCTATTGACTGAGCATGAAAACAAGAATTTCCTTTTATCAAAAAACCACAAGGTTTATTTCCCTGGAACTACTCTATCCTTAAAAAAAACAACAAACCAAAACCCCAAAAAAACCCCTGGTGGTTTGATTTGGCCTTTATTCCAGTGAAAGCAGCAGCAAGGCTGTGAGTGTAACTGTCTCATTCTGATACAACTTACACTTGCAGCAGGCCCAGTGCAATTTACACAAGCTTTAAGCACCTGAATTTGAGCAACAAGGTACTGTAGATAATGTATTATTCTGCAACAGAATGCTGGTTGTCTTTTAGGATATTAGCAGGGGCAGTGTTTGGAAGTGTTGTTTTCAATCAGTGCAAACACAGTAATGACTCAGTTGGCATTCAGAGCACAACAGGCAAAAGCAGCTTTCTGGGAGGGCAGAAAAGGGGAGCCGGGGTAGGCTATTGCCAGCTGCAAAACCCCAGTAAACGCGGGCTATTGAGACAAACCGTGCTTCCAATTGCTGTGAAATCCTCCAAAGTGAACCGTAGCTAAGCAAACAAATATTTTGTTGTCTCAGACAGAAAAATGAAAACCTACCGAGCCATTGGGTTCTTCCTCCTCTTCGTGATCAGCTATGGCTCTTCTGAAAACTCAAGTACATCTCGAGGGTGCGGACTGGATCTTCTCCCTCAGTATGTTTACCTGTGTGACCTGGATGCCATCTGGGGAATAGTGGTGGAGGCGGTTGCAGGGGCAGGTGTGCTGACCACGCTACTGCTGATGCTGATTCTGCTGGTGAGACTGCCCTTCATTAAGGACAAAGAGAAGAAAAGCCCCCTGGGAATGCACTTCCTCTTTCTTTTTGGGACTCTAGGACTGTTTGGGCTGACGTTTGCTTTCATCATACAAGAAGATGAAATGGTGTGCTCTACCCGAAGATTTCTCTGGGGAGTTATCTTTGCTTTGTGCTTCTCATGCTTGCTAGCTCAAGCCTGGAGACTTCGTAGACTAGTTCGCCATGGGAAGAGTCCATCTGGCTGGCATCTAGCTGGTGTGGCAATCTGCCTCATGCTCGTTCAGGTCATTATTGCAACCGAGTGGTTAATACTGACAGTTGTCAGAGATAACAAGTTGGCCTGCAGCTACGAACCAATGGATTTTGCTATGGCTTTGATTTACGTTATGTTCCTGATGGTATTTACCATGGGATTTTCTCTTTTCACTCTCTGTGGGAAGTTTAAGAAATGGAAGAAAAACGGAGTATGCCTCATTATAACACTTTTTTTTTCCATTCTGATTTGGGTAGCCTGGATGACTATGTACCTCTTTGGTAATGCTGAGCTAAAGAGAAGAGACAAATGGAGTGATCCCACTCTTGCTATTGCACTGGTGTCCAGTGGTTGGGTGTTTGTTATTTTTCACGCCATCCCAGAGGTCCACTGTACCATCCTTCCATCACAGCAGGAAAACACCCCCAATTATTTTGATACTTCACAGCCAAGGATGCGTGAAACTGCTTTTGAGGAAGATATACAGCTTCCTCGGAGCTACATGGAAAATAAAGCCTTTTCAATGGATGAACATAATGCAGGTAAGAATCTACTATAGAGGACTATCTCTTTATGTAGTAGCCAAGAAAATAGTGTGGTGGAGGAAGCAATACAGAAAAGACTTATGTGTGGTTAAAATGATTCTTCTGCATGTTGTTTTTCATTGAAAATCTGAACAATTTCAAATGCAAAGCCAACACTGCAAGCCAACAAAAATCCACTGTGGAAAAAATAGCCTGTGTTTTAAAATCACTTAAATATTTGTTGTCATTATCAGTTAACATTTAATATGAAATAGTTTATAAAACCCCAAGAAAAAAACTAAGTGCTCTTTGTTACAAAATGCTCAGCCTCTTGAGCAACAACGTAATTAATTGTATTGCCATTAAAATGGGATTTAGTGCCACTTTGTGACACTGTGGGGGTAAAAAACACAGACTGGCATAGACAAGTTCAAAGACAGTCTTTGTTCTTAATGTCTGAGAAGAATATGCACAGATAGAGGTTTTGAGGTAGTGGTTGCCTTCGTTGCCATTGCTGTTTGGTGACTTAGAACCATGTGTGACGACCCATCATTGCAATTTGCAATTACAGTGTTTTTGAGTGATTACTGAAAAGGCCAGCAACAACTGGTTGCTTAAGGGATCCAAACCACTGCTGAATGCTTAACCCATGTGAGAAAATACACAGGGATGCCGATGTGAGCAGTGAAGGGAAGCACGAGCCCAACAGTGTTCTGTAGTACAGGATGCAGTGTTGTGCTGTCCCACAGTTGGATAAAGGATTTTGTTACTAGTCACACTGCTTTTTATTCACTCTAATTGAGAAGTGTGGTATCATAGCAATGTTCCCACATTGCTTTGGCAGCCCCCAAAAGACACGTTGTCCAGTCACTTCACCTTCCTATTCATCTTTATGTATATTTTATGTCCTCCGAGCTTGATGTTTCCTCTGGATATAGACCAGATGTGGAGGAAAATAGCAGACTTGTTTGGCACGATGTCGGGTCAGGAAGGTGTTTTTCCTCTTAAGTGTTTTAGCAGGAACTTTAAAGGTCTCCTAGTGTGGAAGCTTTGAACAGAAAGGAGTTAAGTTCTGTGAGTATATTCCACAGAGGGCAGTGGAAAAACAAGCAAAAAATTGCATGGATAAAAGAATGGTTGCTTATTACTAATGTTCCAGAGCAGCAGAGGCAGCTTCACGATGCAAAAGCACTCTTTTTTCCTTTAGTTTTTTTTTTTTTTTTTTACTGTCCTCCATCCCCCATCACATTAATGTCACTGTAAGGTAACGGCAGTGGCTTCAGTGCAGCTATTTCTGTCTAAAGCACATCTAAGAACAAAACCAGATCTTCCACTCTGCATTATTCCCATTCATGCATAGATTTTTAAAGAAGAGCTGGAAGCTCCTTTTTAATCTGATCATTCAGTGGTTAAGTCTTTTAGTGAAATGATTAGATGTATGATTTCTATAAAACCATTATTGTGTCTATTATAGTATAATTTGTTCTCTTTTAATCTATCTTACACAGTACAATACAAAATAGATTTTCTTATCTGATGCCATTATTAACATTTTTCATAACAAATGCATTCCTATTCCTATGGCACGTGTGATAAGGATACATACATTTTTAATAAATCAAAACAGATTCATTATTCCTAAAGCGGTTAAGTACAGACTTACAATGACAGGGTTTGGAGTCAAAACTTACTAGTATGGTAGAGACTTAAAGTAAATACAGGTAATAATATTCCAGTCACGTAATATGGCTGCTGAAGTGTTAATTTAAGTCAGATCATTATACTGATGGGTGTCAGTGGCTAAGCACCTGGAATCTATTAGCAATTGTCTCTCTGCAGGTAGGTAGAGAATGTTTTCTTCTTTTTTCATTTAATTAACCTCAATTCAAGAATTCATCATTAAGAGCTTAGAAATGAAAGGAAGGGTACTTGCTTCAATTATACTGAAGAACAATGTTTAAGAATGAAAGATCTACTAGTTGTAAAATTGTGGAAGACATGATAACCAGAAAACACCTCTTGGTTCCCTGACTGTAATATTTGTTTTCAGAAGTAGTTAGCTTTAAACAGAAAACATGCTTGAATAAACATATTTTCAATTCTTGTTATTTTCATTTATCCTTGCATAAAGAAATCTAGTAACTTTGCTCTTTTTTTATATCTTTAAAAAAAGAAAAAATATTTGAAGCAGCATTTTAAGAATCTGAACAACTTTTAAACTGTAGGTTTGAACACACATATGTTCTCCTAGTCTCTCTCTTTCGTAGCTCCAAGTTATACATAACAAGAAGAGCTGTTATATTCCAGCAATATCATTAAGCATTAATAAAGCAAAACTATTTTAAGGTCAGTTATTTAAACATCATTTCAACAACATACTGATCTGAGATTTTAATATTCATGATAGATAAGTTGAAATATCTACTTAAAAGAGTTATTTTCATAAGTGTCTTGTAAAAGTGTTAGATAAGAATTTAGAAACCCTGGAAAAAGGCAACTGGAACTGCAATGCACACTAACAGGGTAGCTTCTGTAAGGGCAAATAGAATTTGCCTTATACATGACAAATCTGGATGTGCAATGCAGAATGCTACAGCTGTTAGGAAACTCAAGCCGAAGCAGCTCTGGTACTCACTGAATTTCATTTAATAACTTCTAGCATTGCAAGTCACGCTCGGAGTCAATGCCTAAACCCAAAGTTAACAAAATTTAAAGTATGTGTTAAAAGGAGACTTTGACACGACACTTGCTCAAATCTTCTGGGCACTATTTTTAATTCTTACCTACACATGCTCTATGTAAGTAGATGTATTTAATAGTAATGAAAAAATACAAGGAAAAATGGTAAAACTGGTATGAGAAAAAAATCCACAATGAGTATTTTGTCCATAAACTTTGTCTCTGATTCTGATGGTAAAAGAATTTTAGACTTATTGCAAGAATAGGGAAGGAAAATTTAGCAATATGGAATTGAATTTACTGGCTCTTTAACTCCAAAATGACCAGGGAAATTTTGTGTAAATATTTTAATGATGACGATGATAGGAAGCGTTATACAGAGATTTTTTTTTTATCTGTACTAGCAAATACCAGTGCAATCACTTGTGTTTAATGCACAATATGAAGCCAAACTGCAAAGTAAGAATAGTACTGACCTCGAGATGGTTAAATATGAAATAAAAAACACGTAATTCTAGTTTAGGCATTTCCATCTATTATTCTGCCAGTGTTCTGCAACAATATCTAATTTTAAACTGTAGAGCAAGTGAGGGTCTGTGTGTATCTGAAGTCAACAACTGAGCATTTGCAGGGCTGGATTGCTGAATTTCTGTGCTAAATCAATAGTGTTGCTCATCTCAGTGCACAACTCCCAAAGAGAGGACTGGCAGTGGATAGATAACAGCATATGGTATCAGGATACATTTAAATCTTTTTCCACAGAGTTCAACTATATTAAATCTTGGCTTCACTAAAGCCTGCGTTGAATTTCTTGTAAACTTCAGCTCATTCATGATTTCAACCAGAGTGTAGAACTGCAATTTGAATTAAATGTAAGACAAATTTTTTGCCCCAGGTGCCTGAACTAGGGGTGTTTCTATTTACCAGCTCACAGATGAGTATTGCCCGTTGTAACCACGCAAGTCGCATGGATAAATGCCTTCTGTTCCCTGGCCACATCTGAGTTCAGTGAAGCCATTATTTACCCTGAAGTGAAAAGAGAGTGTGTATGTACTAATCCGTGGACGGGTTTAGAGAGAAAGAAGCACATCCCTAGCTATGCATATCTCTCATTCAAAATCTACATCTTGAATCCAAACTTGAGCTCAAATTAATGGAGAGGCTCATGTATTTCTGGTATAAACATTCAGAAGGACAATCAGTGTCTTCTCTTTTGCTTCAGTCCTTTGCCATGTTTAAGCTATTCAAAAGCAATATTTACTTCATGTTTCTAGTTTCTCAGAGTAAATATAATCTGAAACATCTGGAAAATCCTTATATGCTAGTCATGCTGAAGTAATGCTCAGGGGAGTTGTGAGTATGCTTACTGGCTCAAGCAATGTTTTGGATCCCTGTCCTCTGAATTTGATAGAAAGCAAAATGTAAGATCATTTTACTTAACCCCACTGTATCCAGAAAAATACAGTAAGTGCTTTGCAAAATACATTGTGCAAGATACATCAAAGGTTTAGTGCTTGAAGACATTTAACTCCTATTGAAATGAGAGAAAGCAAACTTCAACAATTTGGTTCCAACAGACTTTTTCCAATTCCACAGCAAACAAACAGTTAGGTTTATGTAAAACTGATTCTTCTGAGATCCATCCCCAACAATGTAAGAAAAACTGCTGTTGAAAAGCAATGTGAAAACTGGTATGGCAGCATAGAAGTTAAAATCGGTGGCAGAGTTCCCAATGACTAAACTGGAAGCAAGACACTTAATGATTTCAAGGGTGATGCACAGCATTAATTGTGTTCCTAAGAACCATCTCTCTTTTCTAAACACAGCGCTAAGAACGGCAGGATTTCGAAATGGCAGTTTGGGAAACCGACCTAGTGCTCCTTTTAGAAGCAATGTTTATCAGCCAACTGAGATGGCAGTTGTGCTAAATGGTGGGACTGTAAGTATCAAAAATATGATGATTTAAGAAATCTTTGATATGCACTGATATATACAACCACTGCTAACTGAAAAACCTGCTTTTAGCTTATTCACAGCAGGGGGGAAAGCTCCACATGAAAACTCTGGCAGCAAATACGCATGTAATGCTTCCCTTCCCTCTAGAAAAGATGTAATTACAGAGCATTTTGCATTTCTTGGCCATTCACATTTTGCAGTGTAGCTTGAGTAAACCAAGTTCTTTGAGACTACATGTTCAATGGCCCTTTCAAATTAAATCTGTGTTAAGGTATTTAACGTAACTATTAAGTGACACAATTGCTAACCTGTTTTTTTTTCAAGATGATGTGAGTCACACAGATGTTTACAGGCCAGTACATTAAGTAAGAATCACTGTTGCAGATAGTGCTGGTCTTTCACCTACCTTGCATTTCTTGTAAAATATATGTAATTCTTTGTAAGTAAGTTACAGATGTGTATGTCTCTGGAAAAGGGATTAATAAGACAGGAATATAGAACATTTTAATGTTAATAGCATTGATTTTCCTTTCTTAGACAATAGTTTGGCATGCCATTCTTTGATAGACCTGTTTTTCTGCAGCCTGGTGGTTGTAACAAAGGCTTAGTGATCTGATGCCAAACAGATTTTCTGAATGATTTTCCTATGATGTGTAATTTATACTTGCAGACATCTCGTATAGCAGACATACTGCTGAAAAAGAAGAATTTTCATCCCCATATTTTTCATGCATACCTACATGCTTCTTAAAAATCTACCCATGAGCCAGTTTATACTCATGTGAGTTGGGTTTTCTTTATTTTGAGCTGATTCCATAACTCAACCTCTACATTTAAAACCAAATAATGTGAACTGATTGCAGGTCTCTGTCTGTTTTTAAATAAAGTTTTGGTTGATTTTAGTGAACAAGAGGGACTAGATAGCAGGATTCTTCTGTAAGACAGTGGGGAACATATCAACTTGAATAAAACAAAAAGGCTTGTGTTCTGCTGTCGGTAATGAATAGCATCTTTCTGATGCTTGGATTCATCTATGCCTATGTTTTCTGATACCAGACTGTGCAGCTCAGGGAAAAGGCAGTTTAAGGATGAGAAGCTGAAGAATTTGTTTTGGCATTGGGTTTTTGTTTGCTTGTTTGTTTTGCATTGTTTTGAGATGGACACAAAGTTTAATGGAGAATATCGGGTAATTTAATGAAAGATGAATGTGTGTATATAGTCATGGTTTTTACAGAGAGGTAAATGCTCTGTATGGGTGGAAGATGAGTTCCTTTGTATCCCTTTGCTGTGGAACTACTGTCTGGAAAGCTGTCATATACATGTAGCATGATAACACTGATTTTTGAACAGACTAGATCTCTCAGTTATGGGTTTATTATCCTTATTTCCAGATACCAACTGCTCCGCCAAGTTACACTGGACGACACCTCTGGTGAAAGGCTGTAGGCTGTAGAGAATAAGAATCCTTATTGCAGATGTTGTTCCCTGGCAATGTGTCTTTGAGGGAGGAATCCGTAACAGCACCAGAACAAAGCAACAAACTATCCAGGATCTTTCGAAATCCTACAGAGGATTTTGTCTAAATGTGAACACCATTGAACTAATAAGATAATTGCAAAAACAAAATTGTCAAACTGAAGCTGAATCTAATTTAAAATAGAAGTAGGCACATCTGAAATTGGAAGAGAGGGATATTGTATCCTAAAATGTACGATATTCTCTTGTCTGTAATTAGTGTGCAAGGCAAGCCTGCTTTTGCTGGTTGCCAGTTGCTTGCAAAATACCTTCCTCTCACTTAAACTTAATTCATGTTGCCACAAGAGATTGCCACTACAGCGTGAAAACATGCAGGATTTCTTTCCATTTTGATCCTTTTCCCTTCATTTCAAATGTCATGAGAAGTATCTTGTTTGCTTCATTATCTAGCTGTACTGTACACTCACATAGCATCGTGTGTGGTCAAGCATTGTCACTCTGTGGCAACTAAATAATCATTACACTGTAGACTGATACTCTTAAAAAAGCTGGTGTAGGAAATGCAGTTCTGGAGGGATGAAAGGTCTATGTATGTTTCATGCAAGTTCTGGAGCTTCTTGAGGCAGAGAGGAAAAAGAGTAGGTCCAGCACAGAGGCAGCTCTCCTTGGCCTCATGGGATTGATTCCCCGTTATTCCAGCCTCAATCCTGGGTGCAAGGAAAGAGCCACGCTCTCTCACATCTACAGACAAAGCCATGAAGTGAAACTTTGGAGGGATGTGCTTTTGCAAAGACTTAGCTGGGGAGAGAACATGACTTGAGTTTGCCAGAAGGAGTTTGTTGCGATGACAGATTGAAGGCAACCCACTGTACTGCCCGAGCCAGCCTGTTCTGGGGGCTGATGGTGCCAAGCAGGACAGCGGTGGCAGCTGAGAAGCACTGACCACCTTTCAGGAGAAACTCAGCAGCAGATAGGGTCAAGACCTCCCTTTCTAATACCTGTTTGTATGAGTAGTCCCCTTGACTGCAGCTGTTTGTGCATTTCAACGTGGTTGTGCATTTTAGTGCCTAGCTAGTAGAATCTCCGTGCTGGAGGTGGTTTGTTGTTGTTTTTGTTTTTCAAGGTGATTTCTTCCCTAGTCCCCTCCTTCCCTCCACCTTCTTGGGTTGATAGAAGGCAGACTTTCTCAAAGCTTTTATCTTTGTTTTCTCCGGGTTATTTAAAAGGTTCCCATTGCCCATTGTTTGTGCCATGGTTTTTCATTATGTTTAAGCAATCATTCCTTTATTTAACATTTAATGCATATCGGACATTGAAAACATCATTGTATCCTCACTGTTTGGCCAATGTTAACCTTAGCTTTCCTCAATACTAAAATCTAATTGTTTTTACTTGAGGGCATAGGAAACGTATAACAATTAAACTTTGCATATGCTGTAATAAAAATATATATTTTCAAACTAAAAAAAAATATAGTGTACAAATAACTGAATAACCTAGTAGCTTCACAGACAGAAGTTACATGCTGTATACTGCAAAAGAAAGACAAGCTTTTTATTTTTCAAGAGTCTTCTTGATTCTTCATGTACCTCCATTTCTACTGAATTAGGAACCTAGTCCTGCAGACTTGTAGTCCCATCAATACCCGTAGGTCTACATACAGGTACAGAGGCTGCAAGACCAGTCCCTAAGTGTTGCACACAGATATAAATGTATATATATATAGAAAAAATATATATTGCCATTCTTGCCATGATCATCTTATGGGGTTTTATTTCAAAGCCCTTCTGTTCCAGAAGCAATATTTTTCTGTCATGCATGAGTAAAAGAGTATGTTAGCTCCCCCCTGCCCTTCCTGCCTTGAGGCAAAGGAAGCATGTGCTTGGTTTTGGGATTGCTTATTTTATTTTGTAAGTAACTAGATGGCCTTAGCAACCAAGTAGGGAAGGGGTGGATATTGCATGCTATCCAGTGACTTAGAAATACATTTTGCTTGTTTTAAGCAAAACTTTGATCAAATAGGATAGTATTTAAGATAACGATAGTTACCTAGAAGATGGGTAACTACCCATCATTTGGAACCACGAAAAACCTATTACCATCACTTGCCTGCAGAAATTTGCGTTAAAAAAACAATTAAAAAACCCCCAATGAGCCTCATAAAACTCTATTGTAAAAACATACAAGATGACCATGGCATAAATGGTAGGACAGCTTTCTTTAAAAAAGTTTATCATGCTACAACCAAGATTAATGAATTATAACACACATTTTACGAAGCTTGGACAAAATTGTACAATATATAGTTATTTTAAGAAACATTTTTTTCTTTTCCTAGATGTGACTGAATTGATAGTTCCCAATCCTGCTCTGATGAAGGTGTTTGGCAGTTGAGGCCTATGCAAAGATATGGCCGGATCCTACAAGCTCTCGTGACTAGTCTCATTGGGTTAGTCATGTGGGCTGTTCATAAGATTAAAAGTTAGCAGGATTGGGTTTAATTTGTGGTGGTGAAGGTGTGGCAATAGATTAGGAGGGTCTTTATTTTCCAACTTTATACAATTAGTAATAAGCAACTTCTTTTGTAAGTCACTGGTCTGTGATGTAAAAATGCCCCGAATAAAACTGTAATTGAAGAAAGGCACCTTTATGTTAACTTATATTTTTGTTACAGTTTTTACTTTTGCCTTTTCTGAAAGTTACCTAGAATGTAGAGCATCTGTGAACAACATAATAAGTAAGTAAGCACAAGCCTTTCACAGTTCAGTTGATTATAATTAGCTTTTATACTATAAAAGCTACTCTGTTGTCCCTTAATGGTTATGTGCTCATGGTGTTTCCATGCGGGAAAATGAAACCATAAAACATCTGATAAAACTACTACTACCAATACAAGATTTATAACAACTGGGTTTTGATCAGTGGCTGGAAAAAAGGTCAAAGCCATATTTTAATGATCCTGTCTGCTTTCAGATGAGTTGAGAGTGTTTGACACTTGCCAGAAAATATGTAGTATCTTAAAAAGAACACTCTCAATACAGTTGTTTATAGTAACAAGGTACATGAACTACTCTAGAACTAGATGTTTCTGGTTTTAGTCTAAACACAGGCATCTTGGTTGGTTTTGTTCGAGCTTGATGCCTTGGGTCTAACCAAAGGCCATGCAAAAGGGAGCATTGTAGCTTTTATAATAAAACAATTGGACTATTCTACCAACTTACAGGATTACAAAGCAGGTGCTTTTTATTAATTGATGAGAGCTGAAGCTCATTTTTGATAGATACTATATATTTATTAAATGTATTAATGTGTGTTTTATAACGTGCCCTTTTTTCCGCTGATTGTTGCATACTGGTATCTTATTAAGTACATCTTTAAAGGATTTTCAAGACAATCAATGTGTACCATGACGACTGTACATAAGTATACAAAACTACAAAGGTTGTAAAGCATGGGCAAATGTTTTATTTTCAAAATGCTGTTCTTAACGAGAATAAAGGCTTTACTATTTACTTACAATGCTTGTGTTAACTCAGTGTTAAAATCTGCCTAAAATGTTTCTATTTCAGTAAACTAATGGTGATACAGACAGCATTGTCCTGTGGTGCTAACGTGGGTGCAATTCTGCAATATAAGCTAAGTTAAACTAAAGGAAATTGGCTCCCAGAGGCTAGGGCCACATTCTTCCACCTCTGGCGATATTCCCACACTTAGTCTTAGCTCTGGCACCTATCAAACCCATGGTGAGCCAGTCAAGAAGCTGAGCAGCCAGACTCTTAACACTACCAGGGATATTTTTCCTCCGAGTTGGCTCAGCAGTTTCCTGTACTGGCTCAATTGCTAGTGCTTGTGAAAAGTGGGGGAGAGGATCATACAGCTGGGGTTGAAGAATGCAGGTTGCGCATTTTTCTTTAACTGGTTTGAGTTTCCTGATCTGGTGCAACAACCAGCACCACCAACCAGGAAAAAATGAGGACGGGTACTGGCATAAGGTACTCAGACAAGGTCTGAGTAAGTGGTGGAAGAAATCCACATTGAACCACAGCCACAGCTAGGGGGTATCCATGTTTTATCATCCTTTCATTCAAAACAACCTGACCTTTGATTGACTTGCATGGAATTAGTAGTAGAACTTGCAACTATCTATCTTCTCTAATTATGAAATTAGAAAGGCCTAAATAGGACTCTGCTTGACAAGACTGACTTAAAAAAATAATGAGGACTCATTAGCCCCAACCTGATTTTTATTCTGCTTGCACTTTATGTAAGCATGTACACATAAACAAGATCACTGAAAATGCTCTTGCTGTAATCTTAATTTTATACTTTCTCAGCACATGTGCTAAGTGATAACAAAAGGGCCTTTGACTTTTCTCCCCTGCAGAAATGCACAGCAACCCTCGCTCTTATTGCCATCAGTTGGAATTGCAGTGGCACAGCCTTCCTGAAGTTAGACAGTTAGGAACAGAGCCTGGGTTTGTGTAAACTGTCCCAGCTCTGCAGAAGACAGTGAAGCTACTCCAGTTTATACTAAATGAAGATTTTTGCCTTAGTATTAAAACTTGCCTACATGTGGGTGTAACCCCATTTATTACATCTTGACTTTTGTCCTTATCAGAAAAACTTGCACATGAGCTTTCAGAAACACAAGATAAACACAGACTTGACATTTTTGGCTAAACGCGCGCAATTCCATCTGTTTTAGCAGAACTGTGCTCACTTTGACTAGGGCTGAATTTTGTCTTGGCATGCTGGGTCCTTATATAATCAATCACACTTTGATTTACAACACCTCACATGTACAAGTAAAACTGCAATGCTAAGAGCCTTTCTAAATCAGTACCACAAAGTTGAGCCCATGAGCCCTGTGTTTTGTGACATTGGTGAGAAAACTAAAATTGAGATGTGGAATCACTTTGTGTATGTTCTTCTGAGCCTTCCAATTTGCTTCCCACTGCAA